TAAATATTTTGTGAAAATTTAAAATTGACATATTTGATAATCTGATTACAAGAGACATGTTGGCAACCTTAATCCATGTGTGACCGTTTTGAGTTACGTGTGTATATATGTAGGATTTTCTTTTCAGCTTTAGTTTATATTACTTAATTTTTCTGTCCCCTCTAGTTTATATGATTTGTGGGTGGATAGCTTGACGTGGAAAAGAATAAAAGAAAAGTGTAATGGACAACATGTTATGAGTCGTCTTTGTTTTGTAATAGGATCCTAACGCTTGGTCCAAGAAAGTATTCCATGTATGTTATCAATATTTCACTCCAAATCTGACAAATACCCTATGTACATTATATGGGTTCAGTGGAGACCCTGTGATTATTGTACAAAGCAAACATTGTATTATCCTCTAGGAATAGTTACCCAGATGCATATATTTTAAAGAGGAAAAAAGGAAATGTCCATAAATATTAACATATGAACACGTTTATTATTAGGAAAAAATGAAATTGCATAATAACTTTTGTTTCCAAATGATTATTTTCTTGTGCAGCCATCCCATTTTTTCTTACTGTTGAAGAATAATTCATTTGACAGTATTGTCTACACATTACAGAATATTTTCCATATTGAACTAGAGGGTTGTGATTCGGCATTACACACAGCATGCAAATTTAATCAGCTGGTTATTTGAAAATCGAATGTGTAATTGGTGCCATAACACTGTCAGGGTTATTTAGCAAAGTATGTCAAGAATTTAAAGTGAATTTAATAGGTTAGGTCAAAATAACTAAAGTGGGAAAAAAGCTGTATTTTCATTTGTTTCGGCCTAAAACGTGAAATTCATCTTGAATTCACTTTGAAAATCCAACAGTTCACACTGTTGGACCTGATAAATAAATATATGTAAATTTACTATTATTAATTGCTTACAGAGTAAAACCTTTTTTTATACATTGATTATTGATGTTGGAATCTACAGGTGACAGTTGCACGATTTCAGTGGGGTGTACCAACCATCCATAACTGGAAAAAAAATGAAAAGCATGAAAAAAAATGAATTAATGAGCGTTCCATCTAAATTTTTAATTTTTTTTTAAATTTGCACTTTAAATATGCAAATAAAGTATCAATGTTTGAAAAGAATAGTAAAAAAAAAATGTGCACAGAAAATGTTACTTGCAAGAAATTGCATGTTAAAAAAAATATATAAATTTTCATGTATTTTATTGGGATCCAAAAATGTGTATGCTTCCCATAGATTCTATTTTTTTGCTCTATTGATTGTAGTTATTTCTTTTTTTTTTTTTTTTTTTGAGTGACATATCCAAACACCACAAAGGAAATGTGCCTGTGGCTTTACACTCTATATAGCAGGTTTTGTCATGTCATTAATGGCAT